GCTTCAAGGGGGCCATGAATGTTCAGTCCTCCCTTTCAGCCACAGAGCGACCTAGGGTCTATATAGGCGAAAGCCTCGCTTTCGCTCGCTCTCGTATAGTCTGTCACATTCGATCAGGCATATGCTGGCAGCAAGTCTAGCCGCTCATGTGATTGCATATATGATATTAGAATCTTGGGCCGAAGTGTCTCGGGTGCAGTCCAAGCCACTTGGGTCCGTGTGACACTAATCTCGCCCCTCACAGCCATGTCCTTGTATGATGTAACCCAATTTTGAGCATAAATATTCGGTCGTCCGCTAGCTAGCAACGTCTTCACAGCTGCTTGGTTAGTTAGCTCAATACCGCCCTGGCTTCCAACAGTATTAGCATAGTTATATGGATCTTGGAGACGGTGGTCACGGTAAGCATCTTCTTCCTAAGTTGTTCACACACGAACGGACCTAGAGCTCATATACACAAAATCCAGCATCATCATCACAATCCTTCTTTCACTCTGACTCAAGCCGAGATCGCAATATGCCTTCCCCAGCAGCCCTCACGATATACCTTTTCGGTGCCACAGCGTTGCTGGCGGGCGTCTCATCCTTGATTGACTCGTCCTCGTCAACTTCGCAGCTCGACTTCCCTCTCGCCTGCACGCCTGTGGCTCGAGGTAATGCGCTCGCTGCTATCGCGATGGGGCTGTACTATACCTTGGCAGCGTATCAAGAAAACTCGACGTTTTTTGTCGCCACTGTACCTATGCGGCTACTCACTACCGCAGTCTTCTTTTCTCAGGGTTGGAGCGTACCCGCGATCTGGGAGGGCGCAGGTGCGGTCATTACAGGGTTTGCGCTTTTGATAGGGAGGTGCGTGAGTGAAAAGAGTAAGAAGAATTGAGATCGAGAAGCGCGAGGATTGTTCTCTCGGAATTATGTTGGGTCGAGTAGATTAATATGAAAATAAGAGGGCACAGTGAGTCAAAGTGTGAGACATGGATAAGGAAACTAACGTAAGATCAAAGAAGAAAGTGTTGCTTGACTGAATAGGAAGACTCTCATTACATATTAACGAGATCATGAAATTGATGGGCCTCTCGATTACCGCTGCTTAACATTCCACGCCTCTAATTTGGCTATGATGAATCGCGTTGCTCACCTTGCTTTCTCACTCATACCAACCCAAGTCGGATAAGACCCAAACTCACACCAATTCGGCCTCAATCACGCTCTCCAGCGACGAAGGATGACACCATATCTTACAGACCTTAAAGCCGGCAGCCTGAAGAAGCTCCCTCCACCTTGCTTCTATTCGCTCCGCTGCTGACATAAGGTGCATGATGCTGACGTCTGCGACGGTTTGGTACATTGTTGAGCCGGTACTCACAAGTACGCTCTCGTAAAGTAGAAGCTTCGAATAGTCTTTTTTCATTGCTGCGGCGATGTGGTTCAGAATGCGACCCGCATCAGAGTCGTCCCAGTCGTGGAGGATTGCATGCATAAAGTAGGCCCGGGCGCCTAAGACGTTGAAGACATGTTAATCACACCACTACGACCTTAAAGTTGGCTAAAACAACGGCAATATGAGGCGATATAGAAGGTGGGGTTACAGATAATTGAGGGCGGGAGATCGGGGGCCAAAGGGCGTCTCTTGCTCACCTCTTACGGGCTGAGACGTGAAAAAGTCGTGATCCATGACCTGAATCTTGTCGCTTACTGCCGCCATCGCGATGACGTCTGGTGTATCCTGTAATATGAGCTTTCCGCTCGGCAACTCTGGATACCGACATAGCAGACGCTCTAGATCTACAGCATGGGCACCTCCTATGTCGACCAGAAGTGCCTCTTCCCCATTAGCGTCAAAGTCACGCATGAGGATTTTCGTATCATAGATCTCGGTCCAGTCCAGTTTGTAAGTCGTGAGCCCGCGCATGAATCCGATGAAGCTGGCTTGGTATTCCGGATTTGCGCGGCATCGCTCGAACATACCCAGGCGGTCTGGCGTTAGATCCATGTAACTTGTGTCTCTCGGGTCTAAGGGCTCCGCATATCCCGTCCGTGACAAGAAGCGTGGTAAGTTCCGACTTGAATCCAGGCCATGATGCGTTCTTTCAAACGTATATAACTGTCAGAGAAAGTGAGGAGACGCTACGAGCCTGTTACGTACCCCGACAAGATTGTTTGAGCGACAGGCTCATCCTTCCGACCTAGAGTATCCGAAAAGGTAGTTGCACCGTATCGATCTTCCCCGAGCTCCTGAATGACATGCTCAGCAGTCAGAAGCCGAAGCAAACGACCTTGCACGTATCATCAGTGGCTGCTCTCATCATTGATACTGGGGAAGTGCATTTCAACACCCCCTTTATAACCGTTTTCAGATGGAATGCACAGCGGAATCGACAGACTTACGGAGAAGATTCAAATCACATGGTTCCTGAGCTAAAGCGTGAAGCTCCAATATTGAGATCTCACGTCGCTTGCTTAAATACCAGCCCTCCCAAATCCCGAGATCCAAGATGATTTGTATTGCTGCGTGGACGTTACCGTTGATCCAAGAGAGTCGCCATGCACTGCGTGCATAGAAACACGTTAGTCTAGATCTTAGTCCCCACGACGGAAGAACTTGCTAAATCATAGGAGACGAGGAGAGTAAGGGACCAGGCACGGGAGGTTTTTATACACACCGCTCGAAAGGTGTCTCTAGGCGAGCGAGGAGTCGTCGCGCAGCCTCTGCGACCACTACGCGATCGCCGTGGCCGCTCGAATCATCTTTGTAGTCAGATACTTCGATGTTGTCAAGAAGCGCAACGAGCTCTTCGGCCCTGCTAGACGGCATCATGAGTTTCGACAACCTCGGAATGGTAGAGAGATTGCGATGACTTCCTTTATTAGTACGGATATTAAGATGCTAGGTACCCTTATGGTTAGCGCCCACTGGTTCAAGCCTAGACTCGAATGTTTTTACCCTTGATCGACAGTTCATAGTCGTGATGAAATATGACTACTATTGCAAAAAGGCGGGATTATGAGGAAGAGTGACGGCCAATCTCACTGAGTCGGATCATTCGACAGCTATAGAAAGGATTAATTGATACGATCTCACGACTCGCCGCTTTTACTTACATTGGATTGAACTATGGGTGATTAATAGCATTCGCTACTCTCGAACTATGAACGCGATCTTTCTCGATCTATCTCATTTCCATCATCCGACTTAGCTATGATGCGTTTTACGCCAATTATTGTCACAACAACGTTCGCCAAGACGAAATGATCGCCCGGAACTTCGTATTACATGGGTTCGACACAACATCGCAAAGACTCACGGGCTGAGGAAATAGACTTCATTCTGGTAACTCTTCGTCTTCAGTCGCGCTGCAGCTTTCACTGTTTCCTACATACTAGCCAATACTGTGTTTTCTGTAGCGTGCGCTGCCAGTGCATATCTCGGCCACGTCCAACGATTGGCGCCCTTGAGAGAAACTGACCCCCACTTCGAATTCTGAAACCTGATTGATCGCCAGCAGAGGTTGTGAACCACAAACTTGTGTCAATGAACAACTCAGCTAGGACACACCACGATGTTTTGGCGCGTACAAGTTTTGATGTGGCAAGGGGCGTAGTAGATTTGTGGCGCTTTTGTCTTGAGTTTAGTACTTACTCAGCTTATTTGATTACAGTGAGTAAGGTACGAAACAGTATCACATACGCGACGCAGAATTTACTAAGTTAGGTCAAACCTGGAAAAGACCGGAATAATGAGGAATCAAGTTTTGAAATTATTTCCCCTTTCATATGTATTGGTGGCATGCCATCACATTATCCATTGCCCTAATAGGGCACATGCATCTAGCATTGTTTCTACTACTAGCGATATTAAAATAGTGTGATGGCTGCAAGAGCAGTTTTGATGAGCGAATGATTATGAGGTGACTGATGGGAAATCGTAAGATCGACTTGTCAGAAGTTCAAGTTAGTTACTTCAGCTGCCAAAAATTTCAAATACAACAATACCTGTAAGATAAAATAATATGTTTTAGATCCCTTTGCAAAGAAAACTTGTAAGTCACGGAGGGGTAGCCGACGGTGGGCCATTAGCGCCACATCCGCCAAACGATAAACCGTATGCCAGAAAACGTACGCCAAAAAACGTACGCCAAAAAACGTGCGCCAAAAAACTCTTGCGCAATAAAATAGATATTATTATATAAAGCAATAGATTAATTAAACTAAAAGCTTTTTAAGGGCTATATAAGCTATATATGCTACTTTATAAACTTTTTAAAATAAACTTTTTGTTGTAAACTTTTTATAAAGCTATTTATAACTTTTTGTTGTTAACTTTTTAAAATAAACCTTTTGTTATAAACTTTTTGCTGTTAACTTTTTAAAATAAACTTTTTATTATAAACTTTACAATTAACTTTTTATTATAAACCTTAAAATATTATTATAAACTTATTAGCTTATTTATAGTTTAATATACTTATAAATTACTTAAATACTTATTTATTTTATAACTTATATATATTATAGTTATATAAGCTATATAAAACATTTAATTAAGTTATAAACAAGCTAATAAGTTTATAATAATATTTTAAAGTTTATAGCAAAAAGTTTATTTTAAAAAGTTAACAACAAAAAGTTTATAGCAAAAAGTTTATTTTAAAAGGTTTATAAAGTAACATATATAGCTTATATAACTAATATAGCCCTTAAAAAGCTTTTAGTTTAATTAATCTATTGCTTTATACAATAATATCTGTTTTATTGCGCAAGAGTTTTTTAGCGCACGTTTTCTAGCGTACGTTTTTTAGCGTACGTTTTCTGGCGCACGTTTTCTAGCGCACGTTTTCTGGCGCACGTTTTCTAGCGCACGTTTTATCGTTTGGCGGTTGTGGCACTAATGGCGCTCCATAGTAGCCCGCCAGGGATGCCCCGCAGCTTAGACCCCTCATTTGGCCTCATCGGGATTAGTGATAGAGCTTATGTTGAAGAGGTTTCATCATCTATCAATTGGCCTCGTGGCCCAATGGCAAGGCGTCTGACTACGAGAGAATTCGCTAATGAGTTGAATTCTTAAAGCAATCAGGAGATTCTGGGTTCGACCCCCAGCGAGGTCAATATGTTTCTCTTTTTGTAGATTTTGCATAGAGTTTAAACTCACTTACAAAAAGTGTGATGGGCTTAAACTGTGTATGTGAATCCTCTTTCGACATCATCCAGTTCTACCCTGCATAGAATTGTAGAACGGCATCTGGTCGGCAACATTGAATATTAGATTGTCATTGTTCGGTTCACGTAGACTCAGTTTATCTACCTCTTGCGCAATCATGCACCACCTGTACCCCAGCTGAAGCAACTCCCCGAGATACAGGCAAGATCAAACCAAGACATAACTACCGCCTCCTGGTTCTGGATATTGTGTGACACGCCTCCAGCACTATAGGCCTCGAACCAATCATTGTGGCCATATGTGTACTTCGTCCAGTTACTGACAGGCGTGTTGGCCGTCGAGATGGTGGGCGTCTGGCTATAGCCCAAGACAGCATTCCATTCTTTGACCTCTTCCCCAAAGTTGTTGTAGTTCAGCGTCTCATCCACGGTGCCATGGAAAATCTGCATCTTAGGCCGCCAACCGCTGTACCCGGGATAGGCCGCCTTCACCAATGCCGCCCACTCCGCCGGCGTGTGTGTGATCTTCCCCGTCGCGCACGCGTCGCTCCAGACGCCGTACCCGTTCCCGGCAAAGCAACCGAAGGGAACGCCGGCAAACGCGGAGCCGGCGGCGAAGACGTCCGGGTACGCCCCGATCAGCGTGCTCGTCATCATCGCCCCCGAAGAGACGCCCGTGACGAACACGCGCTTGGGATCGCCCTTGTATTTGTTCAGCGTCCAGCGCACCATGCTGACTATCCCCAGGCTGTCGCCGCCCGCGTCGTGCGTCAGGGTGGCGTTCGACGACACGTCCCAGCATTTATCGGCAGTGTTAGGGCTGTCCGGGTATATGACGATGAAGCCATACTTCGACGCCATAGTCGCGTACTGCGATCCGGCGTAGCATGCTTGTGCATCGCCGTGGCACCAGTGTGGGTTGACTAAGACCGGCGGGTTGGCCGCAAGCTTGTCTGGCACGTAGATGTAGAATCCCACGTTCCTCGGGTTTGCGCCGAAGTTCTCGGTGACTTTGGTTAGCGCGGCCGCAGTCGCCCCCCCTACGATGCTGGTCGCTAACAGTGTCCAAGAGGCCCACCGCATATTGATCATCCCTTGCTAATATACAGCAAATTGGTAGAGCCGAATAATGACATAGATATCAATGTGTTCACGACTTAGTCGGGCGTGATATTTATACCCATTAGAGGGGATAGTCGCTCCGCGACTCCGTGGCTCTCATGATCCGTTGCAGACTGTTGTGTTGGCCGAAGACGGAGACTGGTGCTCCGTCACCATTCCGGGCTACGGTCGGTAGGGCCGCTCCGTCTGCCACCTCGGCGGATACTTAGATCCCTCCTTCGCCCAGGTGCTTGGGCAGTCAAGGTTCAGCTATTCAAGTCGGTGCTATTCCAGGGACTGACCAATCGAAATTAGGCCACTTTCCTATTCTGTTATACGGGCTAGTTAGTATCAGCATGTGTCCTATAATCGCAGCAGCATGACAAGAATTCCGGAACACAATGCGGCTACGGGTCGGTGCTTCATCTCTGGTTATGTTCGTATGATGATGATAAAGCTCTCGACTGGGTGATACGCTTGAGACGAGAGTAAAAATACCAGCTTATACCAACCATCTGACCGCTTTTACTCAAGTTTAAGTAGTGGGGACTGCGTTGCAACTCTCGAAGTGGCCACATTCATTCTTCGACACGGAGAGTGATCTACTATTCCAGGTATAGTTCGCTCAAGCGCATCGACAAATATAAGTAACTAGATATAAACTAGATATAGTCCAGTTTGAGCATGTCGTATCCAACTAAGCTACTTAAAGGCGTGTAGGAACCGCGAATTATCTCCTCCATCATGGTCATTCTAAGAAAAGTGTTGGATATTGCGACACTGCTATGTCTTTGTCGCTGTTAGAATCTTACGTCGGAGTATGCCCACTAATAACGACCGCCGCACTACAGCAGCAATACAGAAGCTTAGGACACGGCGATATTCCTGGGTAAATCAAGATTAGAGCTCTATACTGTAGTATGATTTGGCCTGGTCATGTGCGCTTTATCATTAGATAGGACAGATAATGACAAGTCAATCTTGAGCTGCAGCGTGTGTTTTTGCGATTTGTGATTCAGTGTTGCTGGCGGTCCGTGAATTCATGAAGGAATGGGGAGTCGATATCAAAGACTCGTCTAGTGACTTACTCCCGAAACATTTACGGGTACATGTGTGACTCCATGAAGCTGGGGCAGTACGAGGCTCCCAGGCCAGCTGCCAGTTGTCCGTCTTTACCAGCTCATCCAGTTACGGCAACCCATTAACCTTAACTCCTCGGGAGAAAAGGCTCTGTGTGATTCGTGTGCACAGATATGTCTAAACTGTAGGAATTCATCGGACGACCGTTCTGTATAATAGGAAACAGGTCCATGGTGTCGAGGCGGGGGCTTCAAATTAGGGACTATTCTGAGAGGGTGAAGGTTAGTGTTCATCATCATAATTTGTGGGCAACTACTTACGGCTTCCTGGTGTCAAGGGACCGTCTTTCTTTTTCTTTTTATAGCTTTTGGTATCGGCTGTCAAAGTGGTCGCAGGGCCGAATATGCTAGGCCCGGTGACGGATGCAAATGGGCTAGGCTCGGTGGCGGACCCAAACCCACTGGCTCCGAATCCGCCGACCCTAGACGTAGCATTGTTGCTAGCTGCTGTGCTTCTGGGAGCGCCAAAAAGGCCGAACCCGGAAGTAGAGCCTTGCTCGGTGGACGCGTTCGTACGAGCGCCGAACAAACTAGATCCTGTAGCCGGGGCTTGATCAATAGTTGTGCTACGTACATTACTGAATAGACTCGACGTCGGGGCAGGGGCTTGTTTCCAGGCTGTGTTTGATGAAGTGCCGAACAAGCTGGGTGCGGTAGTAGAACCGATCTTCGTATTTCCACTTGTTAAAAAGTTAGGTCCATTGGGCGTAGAAGCAAGGCTCTGACTGATGGCATTTCCGATGATGCCAGACCCAAGCGCGCCAGAACTTGTAGTAGCAGCGCCGCCTTGGGGGGATGTAGACGCAGTGAAGCCATTACGATTCTGCATTGATAGCGAAGCAAACGACTGTCGGAAAGCATTTGGGGTGGAAGTGGATGCTTCCTCGGTCGCAGCAGATTTACCTCTAGACTGGAACGGATCTGGAAGTACTAGGTCACGGCGTAAGTGCTCGAATCTCGGGGCGTATGTTGAGTTATCCACGTACCGGTTGCATTTCGAGTTCTGTATGTTTTGCAAAGGTCAAAGCCCTTCTGGAGCGCTTCACACTCGACCTCCAACTCCGCTCGTTCTGCCTGGATATCGGCAGATTCAGCCGCCAATCGCTCCAGCATTTCATCGTTCATTTGTGAAACCACGCCAGTTGTAAATATCGTTGGCAGATCTTTGATAAGACAGTTTTCAATAGCCAAGATGATTACATTGTCGGTGAATATCCGTAATGATAGCTAGATCTAGTGAGCAGAAGGTTTTCTGGATTTTGAGCAGGGATAGTTACTTCGTAGTAGGTCTCCGACTTATCTATCAGACTGTCTACGCCAAACTCACTCTTTTGGCCAGAGAGTTCCGTAATTTGGCGTTTTCCCTTTTCAGTGAATAGTTCTGGACGGTCGGCAACCAAGTTTTGCAAAACCTCCGCGGTCAGATGTCCTTGGTGCCGCTTCGCTAGGATTGCCCGGAACTCTGCATCTGAAGGCTGTGGATAGCCACTTTGGAAATGGTAAAGAAGCTCCTGCAGCTTTTCTTCGAGTTTCAATGTGCATTTCTCAAAGAAGGGGTCGATAATATTTGATAGAATCGCAGAGCAAGTTCTTTCGTCAAGGCCAGTGATATAAGTCACAAGCTTCTCTGCAAAAGACTTCACAATGCGGAGCATAAAATCGACATGGAATCGCGCAAACATCTCCCACGGGTGAGATTGATCCTGAAACAACTTTACAGCAAGAAGATCGTTGGTAGTTCCTGGAAATTCCGTTCCCTGGTTGGCAGATGAAAGAGGCTCCAGCTCAAGTCTTACTTCGTCACGGGTGACTTTTGGGGGTCCATTGAACGGGTATTGAGTCTCCAAGACATGCAAAAAAGGCGGTAGACTAATTCGATTGCTTTCCGTATTTCCGGTGTCGATTTTGTTCCCATCTGTGTGTTCAGCAACAATAATGCGCCTGGACCCTCTGGTTGCTAGAACCCTGCGTGCATAACATATTAGTCAAGATCTTTAAGTCCCGCACCATATTACAACTTGCTTGACCACGCGAAACAAGAGGACTAATGGATTTGGCATGGGAGGTTCTTATACACACCATGAGAAAGTTCGGTTTAGGTCGCGCACAAGGGCCCGCAGTTTCCTGACCCTGTTGTCATCTATTGAATCAGATGGAGTCTTGGGATATAGACCGCCGAAAAACTCGTCTGAATAGTTGCCCTCGATTGCTCGTAGAGATAAAAGTTGGAATTGAGAGGCTATTTTATCGAGATGTGCACGGAGCTGGAGTGGCGATGACCTCGGGCCTCCTAGGCGCTCCAGGGTTCTTTTACGGTTATCCAGGTTGTCTTGAATGTCCTTGATTAGCGTACCCAAATTCCCTCGAACATGGTCCAGGAGTACGTTCGCTAGTTTCTTGCGAAGTGTATCGATTCCTCGGTTATTGGAAGGAATGGCGGACCAGACACCTGAATCGAAGAACTCATGCTCTTGAGAATCCCGTTCGGCAGATGACAGGGAAGCTTCCTTCTCGCTACGGTTACGCAGAACATGCCATCCTAAAGCTAGTTGGTATGACTTTTCCTGGTTTTTGGCGAGCCTGATAAACTTCTCTTCATCTTCAGAGTCCGTGATGAGGACATCAGGCTTAGTAACGATACCAAGTGTTCGCTGCAGATTCCTGTCATGTCCTTTGACTTTGGCAAGCACTTTCTGCATGACGAATGA